AAGGTCCATCCATGTTGCTACACATGGCCAGGTTTCATTCTTTCTCATTGCCATGGAGTATTCCATGGTATAGATAAACCACATCTTCTTGATCCATTCATCTGTTGATGGACACTTAGGCTCTTTCCATGTTTTAGCTATTGTGGAGAGTGCTGCTATGAACATTGGGGTACATGTGCTCCTATGCATCAGCATTTCTGTATATGATGAAAAGCTCTTAACCACATTTGACCTCTCTCTCCTTGCACAGCATGGCAAATCAATAAAAACCTTCCGGGAAGTTTTCTTTACAAGTGCTTCTTGAGTTCAAAATTTTACTTCCCTTAGTCTTTCTCCCACTTAATATTTACTTGTTGGTTGATCTGTTGAACACTTTTATTCTTTTTATTTTGATTTTATTTTTAATATTTTTCAAGCTTATTTTGAGAGAGAGAGAGAGAGAGAGAGACAATGAGCAGGAGAGGGGCAGAGAGAGAATCTCAAGCTGGTTCCACCCGGTTAGTGAAGAGCTTGACGCAGGGCTCATACTCACAAACTGTGAGATCAGAACCTGAACCAAAACCAAGAGTTGGCTTCTTAACTGCCACATTATCCCTTTTATTTTTATCCTGTCATTTCCTGTCCCAAAACTGTACCTCCCACAATTTATAAGAAAAACACATGTGGTCTGCACACGGGGTCCTCCAGAGTCAGCCCCCAATGTACATTCCCAGGTTAGCTCCACAGGTCCCAAACAGTCCTTTCTCACTCTCTGCACCTGCTCCTTCTTATGGGTATTTTTGCTCATGCTGGAGCCTGTACCCTTCCCCTCCAGCTGCTCTTGGTTATTCCAAGCCTTCCCATAAGGGTCAGTTTGGTAGGAGGGTTAAACCTCGGACCGATGTGTCTCAGTTCACAATCCCACTCTATTCACTTGACATTTAACCTTGTCCTTTCTAATGAGAGTTGCATTTTCAGGTTCTATAGGCCATCCAGTGCAATAGGATTTTTATAGGGTTTGACTTCTTTCCTTTTACGGATTTCTCTCAAAACTTGGATGCAAGATGGCATTTTAGAAAAGAAAAAGGTATTAATACTATGTCAGTGGTAAACCACGGAAGTATACAGCTCCCTGATTTTGCATTCTGTTGCTTGCATCCCTTGCAAACTTTGGAGCCAGGGAGGACAGCCTGTGAGCTTCTAGGACTGCCCCATTCCCAGCCTGCAGCAACGCCCCCTACTGGCTTAGGATCCTCCTGGGGAAACTCCCTTGGCCCAGCTTGCATCCGTGGGACTGCTCTTGTGCTTCAATTGAGCTAGTATGTTTTCCATGAAGTGATGGCTCTGCACCTCTGTCATGTCCCTGTTCATAAGACCGCTGGTCTCAGGTCCAGTGACTGTGATTGTCCCAAAACACACTAGCATTCACAGGGAGATCTGTGAGGTGTCAGCAATTGATGCTCCTTCAGCAGAGTGTGGTACACATCACAATCCGTCAGAAGGCTCTCCTTGGAGAGACTTCCACCCATCTTCCCCTCAGTCACTTCCGCCTGTGGGGAGGCTCCGTGGGCCTTTCCTTGAGGAGCTGCTCACTCTCTCTCTTTTTTTTTTAAACTGCCAGAGGGATGATGATTTTTATTTTTGCCAAATAAGGGCATTAATAAAAATCAATCTTGTGTTCTGCAGTTAAAAAACCCCAAAAAACCAAAAGCCTCCAATTGCTGCATAAAAGGATGTTATTAAATTGAATATATGTAGCTTTGTGATTCTTATTTTTCTCTATTCACTGAGGCTGGATGAAAACTGGCCCAGGAACTGTTCTGGTCACTGGTCCTGAGCTTGGGAACTACTATTCTCTGAAATCTGTTCATTTAACTGAGGTATCTTTGAAGGTCCTCTCAATTCAACAGCTTTGGCAGCCCTTTCCCCTCCTCCTCCCTCTAAGGATACATATCTTTATGATACATTTGAACAACTACTTGTACTGTATTGTCCTCTCGTGGTTTCACACATGGCTATCTTGTTTCTTCCAACCAGACTGTAATGCTAGGTAAATAGAAGGTACTAATTATTTGAATTCATTTCAATAATACACACTTGTGAGCTATTTAGAGGACTATACACACGTGTGTGTGTGTGTGTGTGTGTGTGTGTGTGTAAGTTGGCTGGAATCCTCAGTTTACATAGGTACATAAATAAAAGGTGCACATATTTGAAGGATTAAACGAGCTTTGTGAAATAAGACAACAAGACTTTAGAGTTAAAATCTCCATCTTCTCCATTTCTTAATGAGGCTGGAGAGATTAACTATCTATGGAATAGACATGGCTCTGCATCTGAAACACCCTTAACGTCTCTCATCATTTCTGATGATTTAGTAATGACAACGGGGTAGCAGGCAGTTGAGGTTCTCCCACAAAAATCAGAATTGTTTTTCATTTTAATTTATTTTTTTATTTAAAATATCATGAAATGTACCTTAGACTGACAGTTGAGCTTCAATATTTATGACTTTCTGATTGCTGTAGCAGTTTAGAAAAAAACTGAAAATGAGCCCTCAAGTAAAATTTAAGTGGAAAAGATTAAAATTCAGAATTATGGACTTTTTTTCCTTTGAAGGAACACTCACTTTTTGCTGGAAATTTTATGTGCCAGCCCTAGCTTTCCTATATTTGACAGTCCTTGAAAAAGTACTTCATTTCTTTCTTGAAAATATATGAGCAGTTTTATTTTTTGAAAATACACCTTCTGGATCAGCACAACTTTCCCCTCCAGTTTGAACATTCTAATTTTGACTACAAACCAAGCACATACTCCATCCATCCTGCGAATGAATGATATAGATTGGGGCACAGCTGGGAACATACGAGGGAGTCAGAGGGACAAGTGACAACATCATGACTGTTGGGGTAGTTTCAGCTGCTATGATTTAGGATACCCACATGGCTGATTTGTGATATGTGCCCAAAACTGTACCTTTTAGTGAATTCTTTTTGTTTTCCTGAATGCATTTGGAGATTCATATGTGTTAAGTCTTATGACAAAATTAAATCATACGTCTTTAGCCAACATACAGCTCTGTAATTGCTTTGTGATTTTGTGATTGCTTTTTTTTTTTCAAATAGCATATTTTTGTAGCTACTTAGTGGACTACTTTATTAAACTTTTGAGGAGGGAGTAATAATACGACTATTTCCCTTCAAGGTGTATGTGATGCTGGGGCACCTGGGTGGCTCAGTCGGTTGAGTGTCTGACTTTGGCTCAGGTCATGATCTCACAGTTCGTGAGTTCAAGCCCCATGTTGGACTCACTGGTGTCAGTGCAGAGCCCGCTTCAGATCCTCTGTCCTCCTCTCTCTGTAGCCTCCTCCACTTGTGCGCTCTCAAAAATAAATTAAACATTTTAAAAAAGATGTATGTGATATAACCTCATTACTATTAACTCAAACTGTTATAAAAAAAGATTATGGATGTAGCTTAAGAAAATGGATACTGTTGCCAATCTCAGAAATGGAATAAGAAAGAATCCTTTTTCCTCAAAAAGAGTCACTAGAAATGTCAATTTGGTGCTCCTGGGTGGCTCAGTTGGTTAGGCTTCCGACTTCAGATCTGGTCATCATTTCACAGTTCATGAGTTTGAGCCCCATGTTGGGCTCTGTACTGACAGCTCAAAGCCTGAAGCCTGCTTCAGATTCTGTGTCTCCCTCTCTCTCTGCACCTCCTTGACTCACATTCTGTCTCTCAAAAAGGAATAAACATTAAACAAAATTTTTTTAAAGAAAACTTTTTGTACTTCATTGAAATGTTTAAGTTTTAGTAAGACATGCCTGTAGCATTTTCTAGTTTTGTTTTTTCCTCCTGATTAATTAAGCCTGTCAACAAATATTTGTTGATTGCCTGCCACGTCTTGTTCTAGGTGCTGGGCATGTAGTAGCAAATAACACGGAAAAAATTCTGCCTTGGTGGGATTGATATTCTAATGAAACCTGATGAATTAGTTTATATTTTAAAGAACATTGTGAGTTTATTGAACTTTATATAAAAGATCCAAATAGTTATCTATTGCTGCCTTAGTAGCAAAAAAAAAAAAAAACAAAAAAACAAAAAAACCCAAATGAATAACTCAGGGTTAAGTTCCTAGGAGAACACTGTATAAAGGGATGTAGCAAAACAACTTTTTTCTATATATTGCATCTCTGCAGTGGTAGATACATACTGTGGTGAATAAAACTAACCCAGCTATGAAGAAAGTGACATGGAAAACACAGAAATTGCAGGATTATTCCGGAAGGTGTTGTGACTTTCTCCCGAATATATATGAAAACATACTAAAAGGCAAAAGAAAAGAGCATCTCTTCATTTAGCCTATGAAATAGGTTTTATTCAAAACAGTATCTGAAAAAACATCTTGCAACTGGCCAAATTTGGGATTTTGAGAATGGGGTAAAATTTCAGGCATTTTGGCTCTAGTTGCACATGAGAAATCTCAGGTTGGGCAATCACCTCTCCCCATCTCGTATTTCCCCTTTTCTCCATCTGACTTATTATGTATCCTGTTATGCTCCGTGAAGGGGGTCAGGGGGAGTACTGGACATCCATTCTGAAGACTCAGGCTTAAACCCTCTTCTCCATCATTCATCTGAATACAAACAAGCCACCTTGTTAAGCCTCAGTTTTCTTATCTACAAAATAAGGATATGAATACCAATCTCAGAAGGTATAGAGGAAGATTAAATATAATGTATGTGAAAGCGCTTTGAAACAATTAAAACACGAATTAATGTCATAGTTAATTCCTCCTTAAGGAATGGAAATCAAACTCTGAGGAACAGGGAAACTCCTTATATACTAAAGCCTGCCAAATATAATGGTAAGTGGTGGAGCTTTTATTTCGGTCAGTTGTTTCTAACAGACTGTGCCTGTCAGTCTGTGTCACAAATGATACTGTGTAGGAGGCTGCTTGGTCTGCTGCCTACAGGAAGCCATATCAAGCCCAACTTATTTTGATCCCCAGTTACTCACTCTTGCCAGGCTGGTCCCAGATGGAACTTTATAAGGGACGTACTTTCTGTAGATATGACCAACTCTGGAACATGGGACATCAAACATTTCTCCTCCACACATCCAAACCTAAAGAGAGGAAATTTAAAAGTATAATAAGAGAGAACAGTACAATTCATATTTAAAAAGAGAAATTATTAGTAAGATTCATAAACAATCTTAGAAGTGCTCAAAGTCTCTAAATTAATAATTTCTATTTATCATAAATAGTTAACCAAGAAAAAAACACACATTTTTCAAAACCTAGATTCATAAAAATATAGACTCAAAATACTAGTTTAGTAAAGTTTAATTTCCATAGACAGCATCTTGGCATTTTTCCATTCTAGTAGAATTTGTTCGCAAACATTGTGTTGCACTGACATTTAATGCTCAGACATCTTCTTATTTATATAGCTATTTGTTTTGACAATCTTGTAAAATCATTTGAAGAAATAGCATTGGAATTTAAATGTCATTTCAAAATTTTAAAATATAAAAAATGGAATTTTAAAAATAGGGGAATGAATTAAGGAATGCAGACATATCCATACTTTAAGTGACATCTAGATTCTGAAATTTCCAAGAAGGCTCATCTTAAATCATTGCTGCATTCTATTTTCCCCTACCCTCTACCTTAGGTACAGAAGACTGGTTATTGATGTGGACTCAGGAAGTATTAAACTCAAGGTATGTGTTAAACTGATGTACTTATACATGGTAACAAAATTTAATGGGTTATTTTTTATCATGACTACCCACTTAGACACACACTTAATCACAGTTTCATATAACAGTGTACTTAACTATTAGAGGACAAATTATGAACACAAATATCCAGACTTCATATATGCTAGATTTTTAGCTATTTTTCATTTCAAGAAAAAGATTAAAAGAGTTAGCTACTATAACGTTTAATTTATTTGTCACTTGGTTGCACCACAGTGCCCAGTCACACATTATTCTGGATGTTTCTATGGAGGTGTTTTATTTATTTATTTATTTTGGATGAGATTAACACTTAAGTTGGACTTTGAGCGAAGCATTATATCTTCTGTAATGGGGCTGAACCTCATCCAAGGAGTTGAAGACCATAGTGGAACAAAGACTGACCTCCCCCTAGCAAGAAGGAATTCTGCTAGCTGACTGCCTTTGGACTTGAACTGCAGCTCTTCTCTGGGTCTTCAGTCTGCCAGGCTACCTTGCAGATTTTGGACTTCCCATGGCTCCTCAATCACATGAACCAGTTCCTTAAAATAAATCTCTCTCTAAATATATCCATATGCTGTTGGCTCTGTTTCTCTGAAGCACCCTGACTAATACAGATACACAGCCTGTCTTGAAGTGTAATATTGAAAGAGAGAAAGAAAGCTGTTTATGTCTTGGCTTACATTTCCTTCCAACTTCTTTCACTAAAAGGAATGACACCCCAAGTGAGACTAGTAAATATACAGTGATTAGGGTGATAGAAGACCAAGGGCAAAGGCAATTCAGTTATTAAAACAATACTCTGTTGCTCTAAATGAGTTCAAGACTATTCATGGTATCGATTTCAATTTAATGGGATATTTACTGATCTTTTAAATCAAAACATCAGAAGTATGCATAGATGATACGAAGATGGTAGGGGCAGTGAACATTCTAAACAATAGTATCAACAGCTGGAAAGATGTTGAGAGACTGAAGCTATATTAGATTAAACATAAAAAGGGTAAACATAAGGTCTTTGTATCTAAAAATATCAACCCTTCCAAAATTGGATGGGATGGAAAGAGACTATGTAGCATAAAATAAACATCACCACCATAAAGTGGAGAGTTTGGGGAGTAAGGGTCTGAATCTATCTGTCGGAAGTCTTATGCTAATTTCTAGGTAAATACTTTATATTTCCTTCTAAAAACAATTACCAAAGTGAGAAAGGGATGCAAACTGTGTTTTAGAAGAAATAATGAAAAGCACTGGAGGATATGTAGTCTTGATTAGATAAAATTCAGAGAAACCCTTCTCAAAGATTTGAAGATCCTGGTATTTCAAAGAGATGTTCTGTAGCACTTCAAGATCAAATTAATAGCATAGAGCTATAAAAAGACAGATTTCAATGCAGTGGAAAGAAGAACTTTCTAATAGAATGATTAAAGTTAAAATGAGGTTCCTGCATCACTAGATTTGTTGAAATCTGTAGTAGAAGACACTTTGGAGACAAATCTGTAACTTTGGGTGGACAATTGACCTAGCTGATATTTTAAGATAATCCTAATAAGAAGAGTTAGCATTTATGAGTGAGTACGGTGCCCTTTTTAATTTAATGCTCAAAACTCAGTGACAGACTTTACTATTTTCCCCAATAGTGGTAGTTTAGAGGTGGAGCTACTTGCCCAAAGCCATATAACTGGCTACCTGCAGAATGGAGATTTGGATCCTAGCAGTCTAACTCCATTGGTCATACATTTAATCAATATTCTATCTATAGTCAGCAAACTTTGTCTATAAAAGTCAAAATAAATACTTGGGGCTTTTCAGGTCATATGGTTTCTCTTGGAAAAGCAACCCTAGTATGGTTTGCTATATTTCAATAAAACAGGCAAAAGACCACAGTTTGCTGGCTGCCATTTTTTAAGTTGCAAAGTCCTTTCAAACACTGAAATTCAGTGATTCTAGGATAGACTTTGTGGGCAATTGTATTTTCCCAAATTGGACACCATATTATCTCCCATTGCACACACTCCTTTACAATGTAACTTTGGTACCCGTCATGTACTGGTGTGATTTTAAATTCACCGTTTATAACTTACGCAAAGTTGTTTTAATCCACTTATTTATGATAAAGACAAAAAAAGAGACGTTGTTTTAGAGGTAAATTTGTTTTGATATAAGATGAAGTAAACGGTGTCAGGATGTCATCATCTCGTCTGTTCTCACTGAGAAGAGCTCAGTAGTTCATCTTCTGAGGGACTCCACTGGGGGCTTATGAATAAAAGCATATATGGAAGCAACAATGATAGGCAGCATTTTGACTATAAATACAGAGTTTGCGTAGACTGAGAGGTTCTGTTTGGGCAAGGCAACTCTTGGCTCATCTAAAATCGCTCTCTTAAGACCTTGGGGCAATTAGCTCCCACCACAGTAAAGGTGGCCCTTTTACCAGCAGTGGCTAACGCCTTGCAGCAGCCCCTCGAAAATCTTCTCACCCATCAACACTGTCACCCTTGTTCCCTAGCAATGTGCTCTAGTAACAAGGGACTTTTAGCTTTTGTGCTGGTTGCTGGATGTCAGCCCAAGGCTGGCTCAGCCATCTCTTCTATAAAGTCACCTCAACTTTATTCCTCTCATGTCCCCTTGCCTAGAACAATAGTGTGATTACTCTGTCATTGATTTGGAGTAGGCTATTTCTTTATTGACTCATTAAGAGATATTATCCTATATGCTATTTGGCTTGTGAAGTTTCTGCAGTGAACCCGTATTAAATAAATTGCTGGCAAAGACAGCTGAGGTTGTTACCAAGATTTTGGGATTCTTACAGGAGTTGGTCCACTCTAATGAACTTTTATTCCCTGTCTCTTCTGACATCGTAAATCAAATATAGTTGATGTAGTTATCTGAGAGATTATTTCCTTTTATTATTTCTGCATTTTAAAGAGGCAAAATTTGGGAGTAGTATACAAAAGATGAAAGGGTGGGCAATGGAAGGGCAGAGAATATTAAATAGTCCTGTGTATAATCAAGTGTCAGTTTTTATTGTTCAAAGGTAAGCAAGTGTCCAGGCAAAGAAGCCTTCTTATCATATTATCATCTTATCTGGGAGATACTGATTTGTTGGTATGGTATTTATTTCTCATGAAAATAAGGTGGCTTTATTACTCTCATTAGTTGATGGAGGTGACCAATCTCTCCTGCAAGGTTAGGACATGGTGGCAAATGAGGATAAGATGTAGGGACAAGGCCAGGCAATTCCTTACATCTCTGGTATCTATCTATCTATCTATCTATCTATCAATCATCTATCTATTTATCTAGTTATATGGTCTTCTAGAATAGTTACAAAGTAGGTAGAAGTACACAAAATACCTTATGAGAGATTTTGCCAGAGTAAGAATTGCCACAATAGAAAGTTAAATAAATCATCATTACTTTCATTCCTAAGCTATGTCAAAATAACCTATTGGACACACAGGAAGGAAATTCTAACTAAATCTTTTCAGAGGGTCACTGTAATCCAGTTTCTAAAGATATCTACAAAGGTTTTCTAACGATGTGGAAAAAATTACCACAAATGTAATGGCTGAAAACAATACTCATTTGTTATGCTTGGGTCAGAGGTCCATGTGGGCTCAGCTGGGTTCTCTGCTTGAAGTCTCACAAGGCTGAAATCTAACTGGCTGCTGGGCAGAGCCCTTTATTGGACCCTCCAGAGAAGAACCTGCTTCCAGGCTCATTTAGATTGTTGGCAGAATTCCGTTCCTTGCAGTTATAGGACTGGGACCCCTATTTTCTTGCTGGCGGAAGACCAGGGAAGGCTGTTCTTTGCCCCATGAACCCTCCATGACAGCAATGGTTAACCTCCATCACATAGAATAGTCTTTACACTTTAAATCTCTCTGACTTCTTGTGCTCCCAGCTGGAGAAAACTCTGGGCTTCTAAAAGGTTCATGTGATAAGGTTAAACCCATCAGGACCAGGGTTGTATTTTAAAGTGAACTGATTAGTAAACTGAATTACATTTGCCAAATTTCTTTACTCTGTAATGTACCATAATTGGGGGAGTAAAGCAAGGAAAAGGGCCATCTTAGTTCTGCCTGCCACAATTTCCAATGAGTCAAAATTCATGTCTTCCATTGATAGCCTACTCCTATTTTTAAAATTCTCCCCATCAGAAATTTTTCTTTATTGTTAAGTCAAATTCAGGAAACTTCTGCTCAGATTTTTTTCCAGATCAAGACCTGAGCTGAGATCAACTGTTGGATGCTTAACCGACTGAGCCACCCAAGTGTCCCAAAATTTTCTTTTATGCTAAATTTTGTGTTATAGCAACTATAGAATTCTAAAATGTATTTCTCTGTATTGCCACTATGACCACTTACAAATATGAATCT